CCAACTTCGAAGAGCGATCTACTCCAAGCTTTGAAGCAAGAGTGGGCAAAAATCCCACAATCTAAAATTGACGAGATGATTCTCACGATGTCCCAAAGGATCAACGAACTCCAGGAAGCAAAAGGAAGATCTACTAGATATTAATTAAATTATAAATATATCAATTCATGTGAATATGACTGAAAAATTTAATTTTTTCTGAAAAGGTGGTGTCTATTTACTTGTGATCATGCTATGTATTGTTGTGTGTATATTAAAATGTATTTGTGTTAAAAACGAAGACTGTATGTATCAATCTTGTTGGCAAATATTGTAAATTGACTAAAATATCAGCATATATTTAAATACTAAATCCAAAGTACACTTTAACTACTAAATTTAAATTATCAGTTAACTCGGCTTTGGACTATTCGAAATTCTAATACGTAACAGGAGAAAGTGTTGCACTCCTATTGGTAAAGGGTTGCTGCATGCGAAGATGCAGTAGAACCCCCATTGAATGTGAAGTAGGTGGGAATGTCAAGGCTATTGGCAAGTGAAACAATTTTTGGATATAGAGGGAAGCACTGAAGTTGCATATAGAGAGAAGTTGTTATGTGAGAGTTGTTATCAAAAATAGATTTTCAGTGTAGGAAAATATTATCTTTTCCATGATTCTCACTCTTTTGTTCTTGGTTTGTCTCAGAAGGATTCCTTTTTATCCTATCAGCCAAATAAAGTCACAATGGAAAATGAGAATGTTTCCAGTTTAGTGGTCAGTTACAGATGTTCCTATGAATAAGGTTCTGTTTCAGTTGTTCACTTGTGTTTCTTTGTTTGAATTATCCTCTGCAGTACATTTCCAAATTTTGCATTTTTATGGATACTTTTAACTACAAGGTACACATTGTTTCTGATAACCACAGTTCAAGCACTTGTGTACTCTACATATATTATGTATACTAGCAGAAATGCCACCCTATGGGCAGCTATTTGTGCTAGTAATTACTAATCATAGTATTTATACCTCTTTGAAAATAATTTAGAAAAAGTGAACATTTTCTAAAAAAGGGTTATTTTTTTTCTGGGAAGTACTGCAAGGGTAAAGTGTTTGGATTGTGTTCTTTTGTCATACGCAACTCATTGCATCAAAATGATTCAATGTACAGAGCTCAAACGTTTCATAAATTTTACTTATGTAAACTGTAATGTTTTAATATATTAAAGAATCCAGTACTACATTTACAAATTACACCAGTAAAGATATTGTACAGTCCTAGCGGAAGCATGTTCTTGTTGTGATGAGAGTACTTGTGCTTAAAATTGTGTTCTGTTATAAAGAAATGGTTGTTGTACATGCCACAGTTATTTTTCTAATTGTTTGAATCATAAATACCCAGAGTGTGAAGTTTTTATGGATTTTTGTTTGTAATGTCATTCAATAGATGGTGCAGGAGTTTTTGTTACATACATAGATATTGACATACACACTATGTCCATTATAGTAAGATATATATCAGACAAACAAGAATGTAAGCTTGGGGATTTTATACTTATTACAGCATTCAATTTTGTGGTATATCTGTATGTTGCACAGAGGAAAGAGATGTTATTAATTAAATCTATAAGTTATCTAATTTCTCTGAATTACTTTATCATTTGACATTTGTATACTATAAATGCAAGTTCAAGTATTACTTAAAAGTATATTCTTAACAGTGAAATTGAAATTAGGATTAGGATGTAAGTGTGGCTACAATGAGAAAATGTAATATGAAAAATATTGAAATGAAAGTTGTTTACTGTTTAATTTTATATGCAAAAAATATTAATAAATTGACAAGTTCTAACAGTTTTGAACAGTTTGTAAAAGCAAAGGAAAAGTATTTATATGTAAACAGAATAAACATAAGTGAACCTATATATAGTTTTAACTTTGCGAAGTAACATAATTATTTCAAAATGACATCAGTTATTTTAATATTCAAAAGAAATGAAACAAAAATGCATGTTACTTGTATGGGTTAACATAGTAAGTAATGTATTATGACAAGTTAACCATGTCTTAACATGAAGAATTTGATGAGAACAAACTTTCAAATAAGGTTGATGATCTACACTTTGTTAACTGGCAAGCACATACCAATATACAGTAAATTAAGTTATAGATAAAAATTATATTTATTTTTGAAAAATGCATTTAATAGTTTGATTCCTATTAATCAGATTGTGGGTACTTTAAGAGAAGACAGCTAACAGCAGATTTAGCATAAAAAAATGTAACAATTTCTTTAAGAATATATCAAGTGGGTACATGCTGCTGCTTAATAAGTCAATATTGATTGTAGGTTTCTTTTAGGAACTTTAATATTTAGAAAAATTATATATGTAGTCAACAAGTTTCAGTTCTGTTAGCTCCCTAGTGGTATGTCTGCAGGCTTGTACCACTAGAAACTGGGTTTTGATACCCAAGGTGGGCATAGCACAGACAGTGTGCTTAATAACTAACAACAACAACATTTTCTATAAGCAGTAACTAGTGCTTTTTTTGTAAAAACTAGACAAAAAGGTGCCAGTACTCGTATATATAAGAAATTAAGAGATGAAAACATACTGAATTACCTTTTAATAGAAAATTCCAAATTTTCATCATGTTCTCATCTGACGCAATATCCCAACTTTGTTCCTTGCTTTTGGTGTCTACTGTTGAGTGATGTTTTTGGAACAACCGTGACTCTACGTACTTTTTTGGGTCAAAGCCTGGAATGGGCAGTCCAACAAGTTTAATAAACAAAAGTACCGAAACGGTTTTTGGTATCAACGAAGTTCTGGTTGGGGTGACATTCAAATTCATCAGCGAAACCCTCACTCACATTCACTGGAAGGAATGGGAATAGTACTTGAGCGTGTTTCAAATGTTGCAATTTTTCTGAAAGCGTCTTTTCAATCAAATATGAAATCCATGAATCATATCTCTTTCATTTAGTTGAAGTCTTATTGATAATTTTCTGACCTCCATCTCGCCGAATGTTAAATGAGCTTCAAAATTTTCAGGCCAGTGTTTTTTATCAAGTATGTGTGCTATATCGCCATCTTCACTATCAAGCAACCTATTTTAGATCGATTTTTTTCAAGGTTCTGTAAGAAGCTTTCAGATTAATCAGAGGATCCTTTTTGCAGTCTTTGTTGTGAAGTGAAACTTCCTGGAAGTGAAGATTTTTGATGGCCTTTTTATAAATTTTATCATTCATCTTCAAAAATTTGTACAAGAACTTTTATCTTTTGATCCACCTTGTACAAGTCTATGTTGGGCTCTTGTAAGTCCAAACTCAATTCAGATAATTCTTGGAGAACATCACACATCAATCCTAGATCCAGTCTATGTCAGGCTCTTGTAAGTCTAAACACAATTCAGATAATTCATGGAGAACATCACACATCAATCCTATATACAGTCTATGTCAGGCTCTTGTAAGTCCAAACTCAATTCAGATAATTCTTGGAGAACATCACACATCAATCCTAGATCCAGTCTATGTCAGGCTCTTGTAAGTCCAAACTCAATTCGGATAATTCTTGGAGAACATCACACATCAATCCTAGATCCAGTCTATGTCAGGCTCTTGTAAGTCCAAACTCAATTCGGATAATTCTTGGAGAACATCACACATCAATCCTAGATCCAGTCT